CTTAACATTTTTCACAGACCAGAATCTTCCTTTAATAAAAATATTTACTACATAAAATTTCTTGAACAGTTTACAGATTTGGTATTCTTCTATTATCTTTATCCTAATCTTGTCAATCCATATTAGATTTTTTCCTAATATCTATTTTGATTTTGTCTTAAAAGTGTCAAGTGATATTTTCTCAATAAGCCACTTGGCTTAACCTCATGCTTCACTATCATCCTTTTAATATAACTAGTATTAGTACCCGCACGATGCGCGATAATTAAAAAGAACGATGTACACCGTAAAATTTAATATGTTATTGTTAATACCATCTTTACCACCAAACATTAAAAACATATTAGGACTTCGGTAAAACTTTCATTTCATCTCCTAATAATTATTCCATAAAAAATAATGATACTATACAATTTGCTTGATATGAATGTTCCACGAAAAATAATGATGTTATATAATTTGCTTGATATGAAGCATGTGCCTAATGGAACATTATTGTAGCAAATGCTCATGGACATATTGCAGTGCATTTTTCAAAAGTTGTCATCTGTATTGAGGTTTATCACTACAAAAAGATATGGGTAAAAATTCAAGAATTTCTGGTCCTTGGGCGACAATTTTTGACGGAAATGAGAGACAACATATATTGTATTACTGATGAGATAATGAAGAAGACATGCCAGAATGATCCTTTAGAAGGAAACTTAGTTGGCATCTAAAATTATCACACTTTCAGATGTTTTGATTAAGTGTTGAATAATATATATTCAAATACATCAATAGCTTGGATTCTAGGAAGCCGATAGATCTCATCACGCCAACATCAGAATCTAGATGAGCTTCATGCACTTGGATGGCAGATAATATAGTCACAGGTCACTGTTCCATGTCACTACAGGTGATATCTTTTTAGACTTTCTCAATGCATCTAGCTTATATTATGCTCTCTGCAATAAATTATCCAACTTTGCATTAAAGTAAAAAGTTGCATACTATCTCAATATAGAATTCTCCAGTTTCTGATTCTTTGGCCACTATTGTTGTCCACCCAGCAGCAGATGAGGATTGCTAGTATAATCCATTAGTATTCTCCATTTCTCACTAATCTGCAAGCTAATACAACAGTATCACTCAAATATGATAAAAACTTGTGGCAGATTAATCACAACAACACAATAATAAAATACACAAATGCAGTAACCAATAATGACACAGAGTAAATCATATGTAAAGAAAACAAAGAAATACTTAATTGGCTTCAAGATTCTAGGAGTGAGGCGCTGGAAAAAAAGCTAAAATGTCACCTCTTATGAACTGCCACATAACATAGTTATACCAAATTAAAAATAATAACTAAAGAAAATGATACATAAGACCAAAGGATCATAAGACAATAACAATACTCAATAATCAAATGATAAATCATTTAATAACAGCTCTTCCAATAGTTGCATGAATTCGATCTCCCTTAAACAAAAACATTTAAAAAAAAAAGTTAAGTTAGTAAGGCGCATAACTTGAAAAAAATACATCACAACTCGAAAAAATAACAACAGCTAAAAGAGTATGCACCTTTCATCCTGAATAATTAATTCAATTGACTTAGGATTTTCTGGTTTCTCGCGGTCTGGAACGTGCCATAATCTAACAACACGAACCTTCAAATTCCAACTCATTTTGGACGTTGATATATCGCTGATATAGTTATAGTTTGGAGCCATACTTTGCAGTAATTTGTGTGTAAGCTAAACCCTAAGCAATGTAGAGAAGTCAAACCTAAATAAAAGTTGCTTAAATAAAGATTTTTAAGGAAAAGCTATCGTAGTAAATCAATTTTAAGGCGTCTGAAATCTTAATTTTAAAAAAAGGTATGTGTAAACCAATATGTAAGAGCGAGTGCACTCAAGAAATGACAAAAATCTTTATTTTTTAGCTTTGGGCTTTTTGAATTTTTAACCTTCGTTTATTTTTTTTAACCACCAAGCTTTAATTTTTCTTGTCTTTTTCCTATGTCCTCTTGTTAATAATATTATTTCCTTTAATATAATATAGATGTAAGATACAAAATATTTATTTAATTAATTCTTTCTTAAAAAAGAATACCTACCATAACTGAATTATACACAAAATTTAATTTAAGATATCTATAATAATGTATATTATTTACATATAAGGTCAAATACAAAGCTTGTACTAAATAAAAATTATTATTTCAACATAAAATTAATGTGTAAGATACAAAACGAAATTAACAAAATTTAATTAATTCTTTCTTAAAAAAGGATACATATCATAACTGAATTCGACACAAAATTTAATTAAAGATACCTATAGTAATGTATATTGTTCACAAATAAGGTCAGATACAAAGCTTGTACTAAATAAAGAATTATTATTTCAACTTAAAATAAATGTGTAAGATACAAAACAAAATTAATGAAATTTTAATTAATTCTTTCTTAAAAAAAGATACTTATCATAACTGAATTATATACAAAATTTAATTAAAGATACCTATAGTAATGTATATTATTCACAAATAAGGTCAAATATAAAGCTTGTACTAAATAAAGAATTATTATTTTAACTTAAAATTAATGTGTAAGATACAATGATTCTTTCTCAAAAAAGGATTCATACCATTAATGAATTATACACAAAATCTATATTATACACAAATTTAATTAAAGATACTTATAGTTATAGTATATTGGTTTGCTTAATGAAAATTGCATCCTTTTTTCTTTTGTGTATGTCTTTGGTCATTAAAAAGAGAACATTTTTATTTTTATTTTAAATTTTTAAATAATTGGCTTTGATTAATTAAAGAATGAAATTCAACTTACAGAAAATTTTGGACTACTATTTCCATTAAATATGTTTCCATTTATAATTCAAATTTTTTATGTTGTCTTTAAATTGCCAAATGGCTTCATTTTAGCTTGTCACTTGGCTTAACCATATGTTTCACTACTCTCCTTTTAATATAATATAGATATAAATATTTGTTTATCTTACTCCCACAATAAAATAACCTTCTTTTATCGTAGCCTATCTTTTTTTACTTTTATTATGCAAGGTCAAAGCATCATCAGTCAAATAAACTGTGAAATGTTTATATTAATTTTAGGCATTCTAGTTGTACCCATGTTTTGCGAGTAATAAGTCCGTCACTTTGTTTTGTTCCCTAAAGTTGTGTCAAATACATAGTATCTACTTTCTATTTGGTTTTGGCATTTACCCCCATCAGAGGTTTACACTATGCATATCGAAGATAGTTGTTATAAAATAAATAGAAGTTGAAATGGTATCATACTAACTTATGATTAGTTAAGTAATTTAATAAAGGTAATATATATAACAGCCATTGAGTACTTGAAATACATGTACAAAACACATGTCATCCAATCCATCTGTTGATTTAATATTGAAAGACTAAATTGCAAAGCAATAACAATGAATTGCATACCTTGTTAGGCGCAGCAAAAATTGTTGTAATTGCTATGAAGATAATTGTGCCAAGTTTACTTTGCCTCTTTTGGAATCAAAATTTTTATTCGCAAATTAGATGTCTTATTTTCTTTTGCAATATTTTTCTTTTTCTAACCTTTACCTCCATTTTGGTCCCTAAAATGGGGATTTTCCTATTTTGGGAACAACTTACTCCAACCATTCTCCCATTTTTTTCCCAAAAGAGAATATTCTTTTTTATATTCTTCTCTATATTCTGTATTATATTATTATCTTTCATTTCAATCTTATTTTTTAATTTTCATTAAACAAATTTCATCTTTTATTTTCATTAATTTGTAATTTCTATTAAAACAATTCCATAAAATTTTAAATAATATAATTTGTAAGCAATTATTATAGATTAACTAATAATTCAAATAAAAGTGAAATCATTGCGATACAAGATTAATTAAATATATATTACATAACGATAAAATTCATTCGAAATACTACATAAATATTCAAATTCAACCTCTAGTATTCTCCTATAAATTATCTATTATTGCATTACGAAGTGCAAAATGAGCATCTTTGTCCTTAATTCTTCTATGTCGAGCTAAAAATTCTTGAAATTGTTGATTTTCATCTACTGTCATTTCTACTGTTGCAAGTAGACCTTCCAAATCATCTGCTCATTCTTGATTATCATATTGTGCAGTATAATACATGTAGTCATTATATCAGGTAGCACTTCTTTTTTGCAAAAAACGTGAGGATCCTGCAACAATTGCAAAACGTTGTTGCAAAACTCTGAATGCACCTTCAACATCTTTTCGACATGATTCTTGTTTCATCGCAAAATATTTCTTCTTTGCCGAACATGGCTCTCGAATAGTTTGCACAAGGGTTGACCATTTTGGATATATACCGTCATCTAAATAATAACCCATATTATATTTGTCTTTTAATTTTGGCAACATCTAATATTTTATATTTGCACTATTCATTTTTTGAGATGATTATATATTTTTTGTACAATTATAACTTATATTAAAATTAACTTACAATTTTACATAAAAATAATAAATGCACGAAAATTAATTTATCAAAATTATACACCAAAGTTAAGATGTAAAATTAATATTATAAAGATATTACATAAACATAATTAGGTATATATAAAGAGATAAATTAAAAGAGTTAAATAATAATAAAATATACATGAATAGCAATGTGGGAAATGAATAGTGTACCCATATTGGGAGAACACTATTCATCTCCATTTTGAGCTCAAAAATAAGAAAGGATTGGAGCTTCATTATGGCAAAAGTTGCCCCTATTATAGGAAAATGGGGAAGGTTGGAGATGGCCAAAGGGAGAATAGCAGAGAGCAATTTCTGTCTTGAATGAGAGATATTAAAGAAGAGAAGTTTATCAGGAAAACTACCGAATCAATTGATCCACGCTAATTTTTTAGGAGTTAAGAAACTTCCTTATATAACCTCCTTCAAGTTTATTTCCTCTAAACAGGTCGGTTAATCCAATAAATGACCCCTGATCTTAATCCAATATTCGACAGGTACAAATATCAGATGCGAGCAAGTTTTTACCCCAACAATGATGAGAGGTTTAAGTATAAAGAAGGGGTTATTGCTATTAATCAGAAGATTACAACAGATTAAACGCTAATTTGAAGTTGAAGAAGAAACTTGGTCAAGATTATTTTAGTATTATCAGCCAAATCTTGGCTAATGCAAAAATGGACAACTGTTTATTTCGTCTCATGTTTCGGTATCGTGTTAGCCATTATTTATTCCATATATAAAACTCTCTTGCACTCAACCCACCTGGCCTGGCGCAAAATAATTGATCAAATAATAAAAAGAGTCAAACCTTGGTTTGACACTTGGACTATAGTAGGTCTCTAAATAAATCATATTTTCTCTTCTTGCTATATAAAAAAACACAAGGACTTAGTACTAACTTGGCAATGGGGAAAGTTCATAAAATTTCTTCCTTCAGAAATCTATTTTCAAGATCAGTTCTTCGGCCTTGCAAATCAATCATCCCCACTACAGCAATGGACCACGCCAAAAATCGAATTATAATTGATCATAGTCACCATATCAAGTACATGATTTTATTCTTTGTTCTACTCTTTTTCTCCATTAATATCTTCACTTCTCCTACCAACACCCCTTTCTTCCCTTGGCAACTCTCACTCTTTCACCCCTCAAAACAGGTAACAATTAAATTCTCGTTTTAATTTGTCAGTCCCATTTCTGCATTTTTTACCCCTATATATATTAAGAGTAGTCTCGGTGCAATGTCACGATTCAAACTGTGAAAATAGTTTTTTGCAAAAATGTAACAAAAAACAACAACTCAGTAAAATTTCACAATTGGGATCTGAGGAGGATAGTGTGTATGCAGACCTTATCTCTACCCGGGTAGAGAGGTTGTTTGCAAAAATATAACAAAATGGTACTATAATAGAATCAATACAGTTTGGCGGGAACTTAATGCAGCAAGCTACATTTTACTGTTCTCATGTCTATTGGTTTGTTTTCTTTTATGGGGTGCATGCAGTTACATGAAACAGTGTATATTAAAGATGATCTTGAACAAGCGTTGGCCGGAGCAGCAACGGAGAATAAGACGGTAATAATTACTGTTGTAAATAAAGCATACATAGAGGGAGATAAACCAATGGTAGATCTCTTCTTAGATGGTTTTTGGCAAGGAGAAGGCACTAGGGAATTAGTGAACCACCTTTTGATCGTTGCAATGGATCAAACCTCGTACGAACGGTGCAAATTTATGCATCTTCATTGTTACAAGCTCGAAACAGATGGTGTGGATTTTGGTGGAGAAAAGTTGTTCATGTCTCAAGATTTTATCAAGATGATGTGGAGAAGAACCTTGTTCTTAGGTGATGTTCTTAAGAAAGGTTACAACTTCATCTTTACGGTATGTTTATGTGTCTTACAAAAATTTTCCAGCAATTTTTCTTTACGAAGCATCCTGTATTCACGTAGGGTCCGGACAAGGGCCGTACCCAAGAGTGTGATGTTATGTAGTATTTCGAGGAAATGAAAGTGAAAAGTGGGAATAATAATTACAACACAGTTTATCCAGGGAGAATTGAGAGAAAGTGATTAAGCTAGTCAATGTTTACCGTTAAAAACTAAAAACATGTGCTTTTTCACGTTAATTGAGCCGTAATTTCTGGTTATTTTTTCTTAAGTTCTCCAACGTCGATAAATCTGTATAGTATAATTACTACCAAAATAAGGATCTGTTCTAAGTTAGTCCTTTTGTAGTTCTTAGATATATAGTCTATGTTTTAACTTAACCAATTTCCATAAGACCTTTTTTCGTTTTCAAAGTTCTCATTGAGAGAACTGGAAATGTTTAGATGAATCTTTTATGCAAAATTAAAGTTACTTCTTCTTTTTTGGGTCTTTTCATTTTCTTCCTTCTTTTTTCCATGCAAAAGGGCTAAATTGATGGCAAGAAAGCTGAACTAGTGTGTTCGATGGAAAAATCATTAATACTATACTTACAGATTAATATTTCCAGACAACTTTCTGGTCAGAATTCCATTAATGTGCCCTTGTGTTCAATATAACACTAACGAGAAGTTTGCATCTTGCTTGTATTTTTTGCATCTGACATAAGAGATCTACATCTGTCACAAGCAAGTCAAAAGTTTAAATCTAACTCAAGTCCACTTTCTATTATTTCGGCGTGAAATACGGTCTTCTAGATCTGCGTTTTGGTTCTACTAAATTCTTCTCGTTGGTAGAAGTAGAATTACAAACCACCGTACGTGTATAGATCACATTTAGTTTAATTTAGTAAAAACTTATCTACGCTAGGTGTTTACACCAAACCAATAGATGCATAATATGTGTTTGCACATACCTTCACCGTATTAAATCACTTAAGCATAATAAATTAATATAGTTTGTATAAACACTGAGTGCGGATAAGTTGCTAACAAATTAAAGTACAACAATAGTATAAAAATACATTTTTATACTGTCAACATATATATAACTTAAGTCGATTATTAACTTTGTTTGTCTCTTCATACAACAGGACACTGATGTGCTATGGCTTAGGAATCCATTTCCGAACTTGTACTTAAATCAAACCGTAGACCTTCAGATCAGTACAGACAAGTTCAACGGAAGCCAGTGGTCTGAAGAAAACCCAATAAACACAGGCTTCTACATGATCAAATCAAACAGCAAAACAATAGCGTTGTTGGATGCTTGGTATGCTGGAAAAGACAACATTAATTCCACAGGATGGAAAGACCAGGATGTTTTGATCAAGTTAATGAAAGATGGAATGTTCAAACAATTGGGTCTAACTGTTAGGTTTTTGGACACCCTTTATTTCAGTGGCTTTTGTGATGATAGTAAAGATGTTAACGTTGTTGCAACTATTCATGCCAATTGTTGTCGTAGTATAAGTGCAAAGTTGGCTGATCTGACGGCTGTCCTTCACGATTGGAGAAGATTTAAGGGCTCGGATGCAAATCAGACATCGACGTTTGGATGGACTCAGCATGTGAATTGCTGGGATTCTTGGAAAAACTGATGGGAAATATTTTGCATATGCTGACCTGATTTTATAGTCGATTATGATACTATTACAATCTTTCTAGTAAAGAAATATAATTTTATGTAGTTTTTCTTAATACTTGCAAAAATATAATACGCATACATATTGGTTCTTCAAAAGATTGGTAAGAAATATACAGTCAAACCTCTCTATAACAGTCTTGTTTGTTTTGAATATTTTTGGATGTTATAGCAAAGTACTGTTATATAGAACATATATTATAACATACATGAAAATTGGTTCCGTAAAAGTTTGGCTTGAATAGTGAAATGTTGCTATTTAAGGATGCTATTATTGGAGGTTATAGAGGTCTGACTGTACATGTGATGTTAGAAATGAATCGCAGAAAACGCTAACCTGAAATATTTAATTTTTGATGTCCAGGAGCCGTGATACTTTTAATACAAACAAATATTCAAATAGGATTGGTTGTTTTAAATTTTTCTTCTCAACATTGTACTCTTTTCATCCTAGTTTATCAATTCTCTATTTTATTGCATCATAAGATGTTTGATATCATGATACACTAAGCGTATACATAAAATGAAAAAATGGAGTGAAAAGGTCAACCCAACAATTAAAGGGATACTAAATAACAGTTAAATTAGCGGCGGAACCAGAATTTGAAGTATGTGGGTTCGGGATTTTAGTTCTTTTATGTTACTGGGTGTAGACAATAAATTTGCGTCGAGAAAAACAAAATCAGACCGAAAAATATTGCAACAATCGTAATATTTTATTTCAAATAGTTGAGTGTACGCCACTACAAAAAAAGTGTTATTATAGCGGTTATTTTAGCGTATAATGGCGGTTTAAAACCGCCACAATAGCGTATAATGGCGGTTTTGAAAAACGCCAGAATCACGTTCGTCAAAAACAAATTACGGCGGTTCTTACAAAACTGCCATAATCTTATATTTGATAAACTGGCGATTTTTGTTTGCGTATTACAGCTGTTGGAAACCGCGCATTCCTTTAATTATGACTATCGGTCAAGACCACCACAATTGTGGTCTAATTATTTTATTTATTATTTATTTGTGTACGTATGTTTAAACCATCTTATCACATCAATGCATTCAAACTTGCTTAATACTTTAGAGTAACTTTGACACAAATACAAAACATTAATTAAGTAAAATATTTATTGTTTATAAATGGTACAGGTAACTCAATATTTACATCATCAAATGAATTATAATTCCAAAGAATTATTCAATAACAGTATAAACAATCATAGTCAATCTTTGCAATATTTTTGAATGAGCACTCAGCGATTTGCATTGAGCCTGCCTTCTCAACATCAATAAAAATACCAAAAATGCTATGTATTTTATCATGACAAAGCTTCTATTTGGGGAGATCTTATAACTAATTTCTAAAACTCATCTTCATCTCCCATAATTTCTTTTTCCAAAGATCATTCCCTCAGCAGCTCTAATTTCTTGTTCCCTGCATAAAAAGATTGCATCACATGAAGAGAGATAAATATGTAAATGTGGATAAGAAGCAAATACTCTTTCAGTCTAACTCAACTCCTAATAATGGGCACCATATAACTCAGAGAACACAAAAGTTGTTGATCAACTCAAATTAAATGTGAATGCCAATTTAACAGAAAACCCAAATTAAAGCTAAGAAGAATCCAATAATTGACCCAATTGTCTAATCTAGCGGATTAAAGTAATTGAAAAAACCTTCGCATATCTGAGTCCTGATCATGTTTATGCATTATTTACATTGTCTTACCAAACGAAAAGTCGAAAACCAAGAAATTACATGTGACATGTTCATCTGAGAAGCATCAAATGAATGAGCTGTCGAACGAGCTGATATGGCAAGGTTGTCAGGAACCTGAACAATGCATAACATAAACTGTCATTGTATCAGTTTTATGGAAAGTTTTAAAATTAGCAAGATAATAGCGCATGAGCTCTTCAGCAATCTTAGTGTCTGAGTATAGATTTCAAACTACTTATACAACACATCATATTTCTCATTATCTCCACCANATGCAGAATACTGATAGCGACTTCAGCAGCGTTGCTATGCTTATAACTCGCACCAAAAAGTAGACATGATTTTCAACTAATTTATTATGCTCCTCAAAACTTCAGCAAGAAAATAGGAAACAAATAAAGATCAAAACCAAAGGCAGAAGATAGAAAGATGAAGAAGAGTAATTTCAGTAGACTTTTCACGGCCGAAAGTAGCACTGATAAGGTTCTCAAACATTCATAAAGGGATCAAACATATAAAATAAATAACTAGAAAAGTGCTTCTTTCAGTGTGCTATCACAATTTAACATTTTAACACTGATACACATAAGCAAAGTAGTCACACAATAATGGCCTGAATTTTACAACATAATGAAAGCACCTAACAAGGGTTTTGTTTTTCTTTTTGAATTTGAGAGGATTTGGAATAATAGTCAAACCATAAATGAAAAATATCAATTAAGGCAACTCTAAGCACTTCCATCCAAACTAATTGAACTTCTCATGATTTGAGAATCTCTAGACATATGTGCTCAAAGAATTGAAGCTCAGGTTAGGTCCTTCGACAAAATCAGCCATGTAGAGCTTACTTTTTTTCATCTTTTAAATTGTGAGGAAATATTAATTATTAGATTAACTGTCTTTTCTTGAACATAAAAAAAAGACAAATAAAGCAAAGTTGTAATCTTTTGGTCAAATATAGATTTTACCAGACATGCACATCAACAACCTTTAAATTGTTCAGACAAATAATACCTTCTAAACAAATCAACTTCTTCAGTTCAATCAATTTTTGCCACAAGAATACGCCCATCTGTTTCGCGGTCGTATCTGAAAAAATTACAAGATGGAACTTAGAATTAGCATTTCAGCATGGAATTATTCGAAACTTCATTTTAGGAAAGAACACGAAATGCGTGAAACATCCTAATCTAGAAGCCAAGATTTAAAATTGCAGACACAGAAAATGATACTTCGTTTGCTTACATTTTGAGGAACTAATACCCAATACCTTTCCTATAAGATATCTCAAGTAAAATAAACAAACAAGAATATGTTAACAAAATACTCAATATAGCCTTGGCCTGAAAGAGAAGGTACGAAGCAAAGAAACATCGTGCCATCAAAATAATATCAACCTTAAACATTTAATTGTGTCAACTTCTCACTTAAAATCTTGCATTACTAGGTACATAAAGGATCGAAGATACACTTAAATGAAAAACAAATGCTATTTTATTAATAATACACATTATGTATTGTAAACTAGACTCAAAGTCAAAACAACTACTATTCCCCAAATCAAGGCAACTTATGATTAATTTGTAAAACTACACTATCACACTATGCAAGAAAGTGAAATAAATGGATAGAAACGTTAACCTATTTATCCAACTGTTCAATAAACACCAAACTTATATCTTAGAGCCAGTTTGCACTGCCTAGTTAAAAGCAACAAAAAGGGGATATAGTAGCATGCCAAATCATACTGAAATTAATCCAAGCAGACCACTTTAATTCTTCAACAAGCAGAATTCCATAGCTGGTATAAGGATATATAAAAATAAATGATCCTGAAACGCCAATTACCACGAACAACTCTTGATTTAATCAATCACTACGTCTTGTTCCTAAACTAGTTACGACCACTATACAACCCTCAGTACACATTATGGTAATATATCTTTGAACGGGCAACTAAGGGTTCTCGCATCCTTAAAGGACTTCTAGCAAATTTGTTCTTTACGATACCAAATATATAAAATAGCAAGCTAAGAACATATCTAATAATAAAACTGACAGAGCATCACAAAAAAATAAAGAAATCATAGATCCATACAAATACCTACACAAACATAAGCAAAAACTAGAGGAAAATAGAGAGACCTGGATGAACCTGCGAGCTTCATCGGAGACCTGGCGAGAAGAATAGACAGAAAGGAGGGGAAAAAGAGCCACCGACTACGATGAACTAGTGAAATTCCGGCGACGATTTGCGCGAGATTTAGTGAGAAGAAGAGGAAAAGAGCCAAAATGCAGAGAACGGGGTTTTTACTGTGGGGTGAGAGAGAGAGAGAGAGTGGGATACCTAATTTGTGAGTGTTGAGGTATTATTAGCGTCTTGGGAATAAAGCTAAAAATATGTTTAAAATCAAAATAAAAGTAGAGGCAGTTAAAGCCCGCCTCAACATAAATTAAACCGCCGCTTTTAAAATGCTTAATATGGTGGGTGGATAACTGCCACAATATTATTGTATTTATAGCGATTTTAAGGAACTGCCGAATTAAAACTGCCGCAATTTCATGTCTTTTTTGTAGTGTACAATCTTTATGAATTCTTTGATTCTTCTTTTTAATTGTAAATAGATTCAAGGGCCTTTGACATTGATCTTGAATATGTAATTGTCACCACAAACGATGATCTTGTTCTTGAGCTTTAGCTTGATTGCTTGAACTTGACCTTGATTTGTTCTTCGTTCTTGAGCTTGAACTTGATTTGTTCTTCGCTCTTGAGCTTGAACTTGATTGCTTGAAACTTGTGGATGAATTTACAGTGTTTGATTCACGAGCTCTTTCTTGCTTCTTGTTATAACTTCTGGTGTCTTTTTGACTTATGAATACCCCTATTTATAGTTGTGGGGGGAAGAGTTATGATAAGAACAAACTCTTTCTGACCAATCAAATCGAAGTGTGACAAGGCCGCATCTGATTGGCCAAAACATGTCACTTGCACACGTGGCGCGATTTCATTTGCCTTTTAATGTGACTTAGCATGCCTTGTCATTTTGACACGTGGCATGATCATATTGGCTCTTCCGTTTGACTTAGCGTGCCACGTCATATGACACGTGGAACCAAACTGGGCCTCTAGGAAGATGACATCTTGGGCTTAATGAAGTGGGCTCATCATTTTAGCCCAATTAAATGGGCTATGCCCAATGAATTAAGACTTATTTAATTTATATATATTGGACTTATATAATTAATTCAATTATATTATACCATAATATTTATTTGGACCAATATATTAGTCCAAATTATTTTACGAATTTAATTTAATAAAATTTGTATGCCTATAATTGCCCCCTACTTCAAAGCTTGTTGGGGTATGTAATCATCAAACCTCCAAAGCTAGGCTTGAAGTATCTCATAATACACTTTAGAGAACATTTGTTTACATGACTTCTTCTTAGCATTATTTCAAAATCATAATTTCCAATCAGTTGGCGTAATGTTTTCTTGCCAAAGCGAAATTTCAATTCTCATAGGAATGTATTGTCACAACACTTTAGGACCAAAACATCGCATAAATAGACAAAATAGGAAAAGGATTTCAATTCTCATAGGAGAAGGAAAACTATCACACTACCGTCGCCTTTCCTTACATAATCCCACATCGGAAGCATCATTTTAACATCCTCTTCCAAAGATCTATATAAACTCATGTACTCGTATTTGTTGAGCATCAATTCGCAACATTTGCAAGCCATTTGAGTCTAATTATGTAGACCCGAAAGCATTGACGCGAAGATAATTTTTTTTTGTGCTTTTCTTCCTTTGTTATCCTTTTTGGCTTCTTTTAGGTCAAACAAGAAGGAAGTGTTCTTGTTTAACGAGATGATCCATGCATGAAGAAGACAATCTTAGGGTACTCATCACGACCCGAATATTGGAGAGATTACTCTCATGGCCCAATTATCGGAGAGATTACTCTCAATGTGGCTCGACTATTAGAGAGATTACTCTCAACGTGGCTCGATTATTGGAGAGATTACTCTCAATATAGCTCGACTATCGGAGAGATTACTCTTAATGTGGCTCGACTATTGGAGAGATTACTCTCAAAATGACCCGACTATCGAAGAGATTACTCTCAATGTGGCTCAACTATCGGAGAGATTACTCTCAAAATTGCCCGACTATTGGAGAGATTACTCTCAATGTGGCTCGACTATCGGAGAGATTACTCTCAAAATGACCCGACTATCGAAGAGATTACTCTCAATGTGGCTCAACTATCGGAGAGATTACTCTCAAAATTGCCCGACTATTGGAGAGATTACTCTCAATGTGGCTCGACTATCGGAGAGATTACTCTCAAAATGACCCGACTATCGGAGAGATTACTCTCAAGGTGGCCCGACTATCGGAGAGATTACTCTCAAAATGACCCGACTATCGGAGAGATTACTCTCAACGTGGCTCGACTATCGTAGAGATTACTCTCAAAATGACCCGACTATCGGAGAGATTACTCTCAACGTGGCTCGACTATCGTAGAGATTACTCTCAAAATGACCCCAACTATCGGAGAGATTACTCTCAATATGACTCGACTATCAAAGAGGTTACTCTCAAAATGACCCGACTATCGGAGAGATTAGTCACAATGTGGCTTAACCATCGGAGAGATTACTCTCAAAATGACCCGACTATAGGAGAGATTACTCTCAATATGACTCAACTATCGGAGAGATTACTCTCAAAATGACCCGACTATCAGAGAGATTACTCTCAATGTGGCTCAACCATCGGAGAGATTACTCTCAAAATGACCCGACTATCGGAGAGATTACTCCTCTTTTGTTTTACTTTGTCCAACTTTTATCTTAGTCTCATTACCATCATCAATTTTATGCGCTTGTAACAAAAGATTCATATCTTGCTATGGGAGAGTCCAAATAACGAACTGTTTGATTTCTCAAAAATTAGACTTCAGTATCTAAAATATATCCAAAACTTAGAATTGAACACCTTCATAATCGCCCCAGATAAGATTTTTGAAACCAACTTTAGATTCCACCACGTTAAAAATTTCAGATCAGTCTCACCAAAAAATCATATCTCGGTGTAGAAAAGTCAAAATCACGAACCGTTTAATTTTTTGAAAACTTAACTTGCAAATATATAACATATCCAAAATGCAAGATCTAATGCCTTAAGGATAGTTTCAGATAATAGTTCGAAGTCAATATAAAATTCTAATGCGGCGATGATTTCAGATTTGTACGACTTCACCAAAACTTTTGTATCTTCATGTAAGAATGTTGAAATCGCAAACCGTTTGATCTATTGGAAACTTAACTTCCAAATATGTAACATATCCAAAATACAAAATTAAATGTCTTAAGGATAGTTTCAGATAATATTTTGAGTTCAATACTTAATTCTAACACACTGATGATTTCAAATTTGCGCGACTTTGCTAAAAGTTTTTTATCTTGAAGTAGGGACGTCAAAATTATGAACCACTTAATCTCTTAGAAACGAAACTTCAAAATATTATATATATATATATATA